ATTCTTGTTTTCAGTTTGGAATTATGCCCAAAAAAAGTGATTGTACTCTCCATGTGCTTTGACCCAGCACCCCACTACGGAGCATATATTCCAGGGAAGTAGAAAATAAAGTAAAGATTCAATACTTGCTAAAACATTTATGGCAATTTTTTGGTAGCAAAAAAGGTAAAAACAATAAATGACCATCATTTGGGGGTGTGGCTGGAAAAATGTGATATCCGAATACAACAGAGTAATGTCCTAATAAGAACTAAGATATGAGGAATTCTGGAAAACATGGGAAGATTAGGATGAATTGATAGAGAGTGAATTAAGTCAGAATTGACAGGACAGTGTCTGCAGTGACTATAACAATATAAATTAAAAGATATATAAAAGGAGGTTAAACTGTGAGTAATTGAAAGAACATTGAAAGTACTAGAGAACAGATAATGAAACATACATCCTTCCTCTCAGAGAGGGAGTGAACTGCTAGCAAGAAATATGTATAAATTGTCAGATACGATCTCTATTAAATATTTTTACTTAATTGTAATTGTCACAAAGGAAAGTTTGCTTAGGGAAGTAGATGGGAAATGACTGGCATAAAGACCAAAATCATTGAAAAATTATCATGAATTTGTCTCTTTAAAAAATGTTTTATTGAAACTTAACATTGAGCATCGATATAGCCAACTAAACTTGTTTACTGTTAACTACTTACATTAAAATTTATTTCAGTATACAGTGAATATCATTTTTCTGTCATTCCTTCTAATTGGGATTCTTTATTTGTCCTTTGTCATTTGCTTTTCCTCATAAGTGGTCATAGCCTGTGACCGTCTGGTTCTTTTACACTTTGCATTATTTAATAGACTTTTTAAGATTTCTTTGAATTTCTCTTCATTGTGTTATGGTGATACAATACTTCAGTTTATTTAACCATAACCCTATTATTAAAAATGTAGGTTTTCATTTCTTTTTTAATTTTCATATAATACTTTTGTGAAAATCTGTACAGATAACTTTTCTCTTTGATAACATTTTCTTTTTTTAATTATTTATTTTTAGTTTTCAGCATTCATTTTCATAAGATTTTGAGTTCTAAATTTCCCCTCTCCCTCCCCTTTCCCCTCCAAGACAGTATGCAATCTGATATAGGCTCTACATATATATTTATATTAAACATATTTTACATTAGTAATGTTGTAAAGAAGAGTTAGAACCAATGGGAGGAACCACAAGAAAGAAGAAACCAAGAAAAAAGAGAGAACAAATAGTGTGTTTTGATCTGCATTCAGACCCCATCGTTCTTTTTCTGGATGTGGATAGCATTTTCCATCATGAGTTTTTTGGAGTTGTCTTCGATCCTTGCATTGCTGAGAAGAACTAAGTCTAGCAACAGTGTTGCTGTTACTGTGTACAGTCTTCTGGTTCTGCTCACTTCACTCAGCATTAGTTCATGTAAGTCTTTCCAGGTTTTTCTGAGGTCCACCTGGTCATTATTTCAAGGAACAATAATATTCCATTACATTTGTATACCACAACTTGTTCAGCCATTCCCCAGTTGATGGGCACATCCCCATTATTTCTAACTCTTAGCCACCGCAAAAAGAACTGCTATAAATATCTTTGTACATGTGGGTCCTTTTCCCATTTTTATGATCTCTTTAGGATATAGACCTAAAAGTGGTATTGCTAGGTCAAAGGGTATGCACAGATTTATGGTTTTTAGGGCATAGTTCCAAATTGCTCTTCCAGAATGGTTGGATCAGTTCACAGCTCCACCCACAATGTATTAGTGTTCCAATTTTCCCACATCTCCAAAATTTATCATTCTCCTGTTTTGTCATGTTGTCCAATCTGATAGGTGTGATGTGGTACCTCAGAGTTGTTTTAATTTGCATTTCTCTAATCAATAGTGATTTGGAGCATTTTTTTCATATGACTATAGATCTGCTAGATTAGTTTCTAAGAAAACACAGCTTTGCTTGCCTAACTTTCCTTCTTAAAAACCTTTTTCTTTTAAACCAGTATTTTCAGACTGCCAATCCAAAGTTTTTCACATCTGTGAAACTTTACTACTCAAGGTCCTTAAGAAAAAATTGGCTCTTAACAGACAAGGTGAATCATTCCATAATTTAATACAGTTAATTTGAACTGGCCCTAAGTCAGTTTCTTGGGTTGTGGCACATTGTTTTATCAGCAGGTATTAGATGTTCATCTCTTAGTGATATTATATAGTTATTTTAATTATTGTAGCCAGTTTTAAAGATTTATTCTTTTGATTGCCTCCACTTGAGCCCTTCTTAGATGCAGTGGAGGTGCTTGGAAGCTTTTTCACCTCTGGCCCTATGTGAGGCTGTCCTACTGTCTGAGGTGAAAATAGAGTGGCTTTTTATGGGAGTTGGCCAGTAAGTGCTAAGGTTTTTTTTGTTACAGTTATTCATAACCTCTATTGGTAGAAGTAGTACCAACACTAATGGAAATAACTAATGTTTTTAAATAGTGAGGTATTGTTTTTGATAACATAACTATTAAGATATTAGGATGATTTTTAAGTGAGAAGGGAAAAGTAATAATGGCCCTGGCTAAGTTATCAAAAAGATAGCATTGAATGAAATATCAAATTTGTCTACACATATGATACAAGTAAAGCAGAAGTTGATTCTTTGATGAGAAAGAAGGAAATGTTAAATATCATTCAGAGACACATTTACCTATTTTAAAAATCAGTTTATTGTTTGGTCTGGATCAGAAGAGAATGCATGATGTTTTATCTAATAATAGTATGATATCAGCAAGGTCTTTCTCACTTTTGAAGAGAAGAATATTCTGAATTGAAAAATAAACCAGTATTTTTTCAAGCAAAAGTTTCTTGAAATAAAATGCCAAAGAAGTTCTTTTAAAACATGTTTAATTAGCTGATAGATACTTTTGAAGATTTTACATATAATTTGCTTTTTGAGTTGTCAACAAGAAGCCATTTTGACAGTATTAAAACCAAAGCAAAAAAAATCTTGCTGTCACATTTTAGCTCTTACAGTCAAATTTTTTTATCTGTCTATTTATTTATTTTTAGTTTTCAACAGTCACTTTTCTAAAATTTTGAGTTCTAAATTTTTCCCTTCCCCCTCCCCAGGACAGCATGCAATCTGATATAGGCTATACATATAGATAATTATATTAAACATTTCCACATTGCTCATGTTGTAAAGAAGAATCAGAACAAAAGCCACAAGAAAGAAAAAACAAAACAAAAAAGAGAAAATAGTATGCTTCAATCTGCATTTGAACTCCATAGTTCTTTCTTTGGATGTGGATAGTATTTTCCATCATTACTCTTTTGGAATTGTCTTAGATCATTGCGTTGCTGAGAGGAACTAAGTCTGTCATAGTTGATCATCACACAATGTCGCTGTTACAGTCAGATCTTTAAGGATAGAAAATTGTTAAGAAAAATAAAGCAATCCTACCAGTTATTTTCACTTTCTATAACTTTTAATTATATATTAATGTCCTTATTATGCAAAGTATCTTTGAAATTTCTTAATGTGTATTTGTTTCATTTGAATGAGAAAAGAAGTGAAAAAGATTTGGATAAAAAGCATTTTATTATTGAGAGAGAGAGAGAGAGAGAGTGTGTGTGTGTGTGTAAGTGAAGAGAAAGACAGAAAACAGTTTTAGGTAAATCTCCCTGTTTTGTTCCTTTTGTGATAGATACTAGTTATCAAGGTCTTTGAACAAAATTAAGTGTTATGTATCTTAAGCAACCACATATGATTTTGACGTATGCATGGGAGGTATCCTATTGGAGGAAAACCTTTAAAGGTTGCATTTTCCCTACCAAAATACATTGTTATAGACTGTAGTGAGTTTTTTGATTACTTATACCTTTCATTCATTTTTATGACTGTGTAGTTGTGATTTACTCTATAATATCAATTGCAGACGCCTACCAATCAATTCTCTTCCTATATCTTTATCAGAGGTGTTCTCAATATTATATTGATTAGTCTTATAAAAATTTTATAGTGATGGGAAAGTAGGTATATGAGTCAGCTATTGATAATTCTCTAATTGCTTGGAGGGGGGTAGATAACATCCAGGAATTTTTCCAAGTATTTGGTAGCTTTTCCTCCTTCATATGTCTTGAGAATTGATCCTATCACCATTACAATTCTCTGAATGAGATTCATGGATGAAGTGAGAGATTGAACTGTGCCAGGGGTTCTTAACCTTTTTATCTGTTCTGTTTTTTAACCTTTAGTAGTCTGGGGAAATCCTATAAATCCTTCGCAGGCTGTTTAAATTTGCAAAATGCATAAGATTACAAAGGAAATTAATGATATTGAAATGCATTAATCATTATTTTTAAAAACAAGGTCGTAGAGCCCCAGAAGTGATCCTGAACTAGAGGGTCTTTTAAATCCGATTCAGCTCCTAAGATTTATTCTGACTTTACTGTTAATTTTCTATGTGGCCTTGGGCAGTTAGTAATTTTATATGCCTGGGCCTCAGTTTTCTCCTGTACAAAATATGTGGATTGGACTAAATTAGCTTTAAGAAGGTCTCTTCACTAATTCTAAATCCTCTTATCAGTATACTTTATACTGTTTATGCAGTTGCCATATTCTGCAGTTAGCATTTATATGTGTAGAAGTCATCTCTCTTACTAGATTGTAAACTCTTTGATGGGTGTTTTTGGTCTTTTCCCAGAAATTGACGCCTAATGTATGCTTGTTGACTGATTATTTATTTTTGTATTCACCTCGTGTACCTAGCACAATGCATTCTACATAATAGATGCTTAATGTTTATTAAATTGGTGAATGGTGAAGCCATGCTTGTGACTGATATTATCTGGTTGTTGCATCAAAGATAGTTATTGTTCATTCCAAATTCGTGCTAAACTAAAGATTACCTCATGTTTTTCAAACCCCTTTGTTAAAATACAGTATCACAGAAAGGTTAGAAACATGTTAATGATATTTTATCCCATGTATCTTATTCCCATTTAGGTCGAATACATCAAGCTATGGTAACATCTTTAAATGAAGATAATGAAAGTGTAACTGTTGAATGGATAGAAAATGGAGATACAAAAGGCAAAGAGGTACGTACCATTACATTTAACTTTATAGTTCTCTAATAATGATCCTTTTAAAAAGCTGTAAGTATTTTTAGCTTTAATTCAACCATAATTTTTCTTATGATTCTTCCAACGGTGTGTTCTGGATTTTATTTACTAGAACTTTATTTGCTGCTACACTCATTTCCTAAGTATGAGTTCTCATAGAAAAACTGTTTGAAATGAGGTCAGCGAACTGATTTTTTTGAAACTTCTTTTTGATCTTTTACTACAGTGGTGTTGACTGTAAAAATAAATTAAAAAGCAAAATACTAATGCACCTTAGAGTATATGTATTTTCAAATCTTTCCTGTAAAATTTTGATTTTTGAGAATGTTTATTTTGAGGGAAGTATATTCTTCTTCATATCTATGATTGGGTATATCACTAATTAGGTTTAAGTCAGATGGAAATGCCACTTTTTTCTAACTTATCTCATAAAAGTGAACTACAAATCTGCAGTAGTTACTATATAATTCCATTCTTTTTATGCTGGTAGCATATCCAAATAATCCAGGGAATTCAAAACCACAAAAACTGTCAAAGGTAGCTTCTTACATGTACAAAAGACCATAATTTTTGGTGTTATGCCAATCTCAACTAAAATCACTAAGTTTATCTGTTTGTTTTCTTAATTCACATGAAAAGTGGCTTTAAGTATACTCCTGTCTAAGCCTATTTTTTTCTTATAAACAGATCGACTTGGAGAGCATCTTTTCACTTAACCCTGACCTTGCACCTGATGAAGAAATTGAACCTAGCCCAGAAACACCTCCACCTCCCACCCCTTCAGCCAAAGTAAACAAAATTGTGAAGGTTTGTAATTATCATTGAATGTTTAAGGAATCACTTTTAGAATTTGTGATTCCGAAATGATGGTATATTAAGGCTGTGTTTTGGAAAATAACCAATTTACTCCCACCTCTGTGTGATCAAGGATGTCTAGTTTTCAATTTGAGGAATTTTTAGAAAAGACTTTAGAACTTCCTGTCTGATAAAGTGTTAGCTGCAAACTTAAGGCTTTTCATAGAGTATGTGACCCTAAATTTTCTCATTTCAAAGCACATAGTTCTGCTATCACCTGCTACAATAGCAGGTGACTTGCTCAGGGTCATATAGTAAATGTTTTAAGGATTCAAACTCAGGACTTCTAGACGCCAAGGATGGCACTCTCTCCATTATGCCACCTACCTGCTATATGCTCTGTATTTCCTAATATATGAGTATCCCCCGGTCAAGGACGCTTTCTTTTTTGTTTTTGTATACCTAGTACCTTGTGCATAGTAGGCATTTTATAACTGTGTGTTGAGTTTTTATCTTTCCACCTGCTTGCCTTCTTCTTAGGGAACTGGAAAGTAATAAATCCTGGTTCTTGATTTCTTTGGTGGCTTTTAGTACATTGAATCCCCTAATTTTCCTTACTAATATGTTATTATCTTATTCACGTATCTTTCAAAATAAAGGCAGGAAAAGACAAGCAGTTGTGTTCATTCCTGTGTTATCTTCAAATGGCATCATTTTTACAACAAGAATAATCTTCCTAACATTAAAAGAGTAGGTGACAGTTGTAGCCCATTGTAAACCCTATGTGCTTATTGGCTTTGTAGCTTGATTCTCATTGTGGTATGCTAGAAAGAGGGCAGAACTTAGAGTCAAAGGCCCTGGTGTTGAATCTTATCTCTGGCCCTTACTGCCTGTCATTTCATATCTCTGGGCCTTATTATTTCCATCTGTAAAGTAAAGAGTTGAACAAGTTGACCTCCAAGGTACCTTCCAGTTCTGAAGCTATGATACTTTGAACCCTATAAGGTAAGTAATACAAATCTTATTAGTACCATTTGTAGATAAGGAACCTGAGACTGACCAAGATAAAGTAATTTATTTAACCCAAGTCATAGAACTAAGATGTGGCAGAGCCACTGAACCCAGACCTAGGCCCAGCCCAGTGCTCTCTGCAGCACCCAATTCCTCTTGGATGCTTTTAAGTGTTACGATTCATCTATCATTTACTACATCTCCTATTGTTTCTCCCTATGTTAATTAGTTACCTGTCATAGGAACAAATTATCCGCAGCCCTCACCCTGTCATCTTTACATTGCTTAGTTTTTCCCTGTGTCCTTATTATCCCTTCCCTTTCCAAGACAGCCATCCATTAGTACAAATAATTTTTTTTAAGTAAAGAAGGAAAAAAGAGAAAAATTAGCAAAGCCAGTCACTACATCAAAAAAAGTTGACATTACATGTACTGTTCCATACCTGTGGGACAAACACCATCCATATCTTCCGCCCCCCCCAACCCCAAACACACACACACACACACCTAAAGGAGTCAAATGTATTCCAGCTCTTCTTTGGGGCCAGACTTAGCTGTTTGGTAGTTTTCTGGTGGTTGTTCTTTCTATTTATATTGATGTCCTTAGCTACACTAAAGATATAGCTAGTAGCATATCAACTGTCCAGCCTCCGGTACTTCGTCCTGAAATGAAGACTTTTAAGGAGTTCTAACAGCTTTATAACTAAATAATGTGATCATTATAGACTTACATTAATTTTTGAACTACTCGGAAATTTCTATTCCAGTTGAGGTTGTCTTTGAGCTATTTTTAAATAATTAGCTTCAAGGGAAAATAAAGATATTCAAGCAGACATTGTAATAAAGTAAGCTAGTTTATTATTTGAAACAAAACTTTAATTTTATGTGTGATTTCATCTGGGTCTCTAAATGGTCTCAAAATTTTATTTCAAGATCATTGCAAATATATAAATAAAAAGCATCATCACTTAGTGGATAGGGGACTGGACTTAAAGTCAGGAAGACATAAATTCATATCCTGCCTCAGACACTTACTAGTTTTGTGACCATGGGCAAATCATTTAAACTCTCTGGGCCTTGTGACTTCTTTATCTGTAAACTGAAGCATTTTGATTCTGTCTTCCAAGGTCCTTTCCAACTCCAAATCTGACCCTATAATGTGTTGTTATCCGACTTTGAAATATGTATTATTTTCAGACCTTTTCATATGAAAAAGTTTAATAGATTTACAGATGCTATTAATTATAAAATCAAGTTACCTGTAATTTTAGCTTCTTAGAATTTTTATGATTGCTTTTTTAAATATAAAAGTATGCCAGAATTGTGTTTTGCATAATGAGTGAATTTAGAGAAAAAAGTAATGGTGATTGTCTTCTTTTCTAGAATCGCCGGACTGTGGCCCCTATTAAGAACGACCCTCCTGCAAGAGACAATAGGGGTAAAGTATAAATAAGGCTACTATTAATACGGATTTCGCATATGGATATGGGAAATAAATAGAGGGTTTTTGTTTGAGGGTTGAGATTGTTTTTGTTTTCATATGTATTTTGAGGGTCTAGAACAATGGTTGCATTGTATTGGAAACTCCCTTTACTGATACATATTAGCCATTTATCTGTAATGTAGTCTAGGATAGTAGCCTGGGCCGCTGAGGGGTTGAATGATTTGGCCGTGGTCATTCATTGTAAGCTTTAGCATATTTTTCCAAAGTAATAAATGTGTATCATGGAGGACTTCCAATATCAGTACTTCCTGACTCTGAGCCTAGCCCTCTCCACCATTGTAAGAAACTTTGAACTATACTTAATTTTTTTCAATGCATTTGGAATCCTCTTAATTTTTGAGTAAAACACTTTTTTAAGTCAAAGAATGATATGCTTCAGGTAAAACTACCTAATTATATAATTTTTCATTTTAAGAGCCAGTACTCAATACAGTAATTACATATTTGGCCATTAGTTTTGCAAAATTTAGGGAGCTGGGAAAGAGGATGTCTATATAATCCCTCAAAAAACTACAGTCCCTAGCATTTCCCCCTCAAACCTTGAAAATAATAACTGAAAGAACAGGTAAGCACTATACCATTTATTTTTAGACATCAAGTTTTAATCTACAATTCATATCCTTTTCAACTGCTTTTAGCAAACTTCCAAAGTTCAAAACTAATAACAACTGCCCCAGTTTTACATATACATATGTATGTTTATTAGTTATATATGTTAATTCTAACAGCTAAAAATAAATGCCCCAGAACTGACATTTAAAGTTTGCAGTTTACTTTAAATACAAGACCTTATTTGAGTCTCACAACAACCCTGTAGGTAAATGCTATAACCTGCATTTCATAGCTGAGCAAACTGGGCTTCAGGAAGTTTTCATGATGACTTGCCCCAGTGAAGGTCTGAGATAGTATTCACACCTCTCTCTTCCTGATTCAGCTCAGCACTATTTTACTTACTAGATCACACTGTCTTTCTTTGACAACTGTTGGTGCAGACAGTAGCGTTCCTGGTGAAGGAAGGAGGAGAGGATTAAAAAACCTATTTCTTATAATTGGATTGAACATGGAGGGGAGGGTTATCTGCATTATAAACTATCTTCAATACAGTTATTGAAAATTATGACTTCCGTACTGTTACAATATTTTGGTGTTGCTTGCAGAACTTTATACTCTTTTTGCCTTTTACAGCTCCCATAGAAAAATAAAACTAAATTGATGTCAGTATATTCATTATTTAGTATTAGTTCCAAGGTGTAATTAATTTAGTGGAAATTTCGTTTCTGAATCTGCATATACTACTTTGCAAATATTCATAAGCTCTTTAATAATTAAATGCTTATGTCAATTCCTGTTGAATAAAACTGGCATATCTATATGCTAAAATCTAAGACTTTAAATATACATGGTTTTAGATTGATGACAGCAAAAAATGTGATATAATTTACAGTTTCATTAACCTATGTTCTACCAGTTCATTTATTATACTCCAGTATAGGAAGAACCACATGAATGACTTAAGTAAGTCCTTGAGAGTTATCTGAGGCACAGAGAGGTTAAGTGACTTGCCCCTAGTCTCAGAGCTAGTAAGTGTCAGCGACCTACTTGCTTATTCTATGCATATACCTTATCCTAAAATTCCACTTTGATAGTCATCCTTACTAGACCATGGACCCTAGGTGACTAAAGTTTTCAAAGGACAATGCCAAGCACCTAGTAAGCACTTACTAAATGTCTTTTCACTTGTTTAAAGGCTTCTGTAATTTAAGCTTTGTTATAGCCTCCTAACCTGAAAAGGCTTTGAGTGTGGGCTTGGTAGTGGACTCTTAATAAAGGACCCACCTAGCCAAGTTTGAAAAATGTTGTTTCCAGAAAGTTGGCCAGCAGGCCAACTTTTTTCTGTAGCAGTTCATGAAAAACTGTTACTAAGATGTGAATAGAGTTACAGTCTAGGTCAGTTGAAGGATCCACATTGATGAAATATAGATCTTTTGAAGTTATAATGCTATGTTAGAAGTTGTTTTTATTAATGCCTTGAATAATAATTCCTGTTTCATTTGCAGTGGTTGGTTCTGCGCGTTCACGGCCTAGTCAATTTCCTGAACAGTCTTCTGCTACACAACAGAATGGTAGTGTTTCAGATATATCTCCAGTTCAAGCTGCAAAAAAGGAATTTGGACCCCCTTGTATGTAAACCACGTATCAAGGATTCATTGATTTCAGGCATACATGTATTCTCTCTTGGTCTAACTTATAAATCCTCAAAGGAAAGGGTCAGTTTTCAAACCCAATCGATTATTGTCTGTGTCTCATTGTATTGAGATTCTTACTCTGAAGAATTAAATTTTGTGTTCTCACATCCTTGGTCTACCAATTGGGGCTTAAATTTATTTTTCTCTATATGATAATTTAATTTGGGTTTTGCAAACAGCAAATTTAATGATATCTCAGCACTTTTAGTTTGAAGTTCCTTTTTTTTAAAAAAAAAACAAAGACTGGGGTAACCATCTGTCCAGGAGGTTGTAGAAGGAATTCTGTGCTCTATTGGAATCAGATGACCTCTAAGCTCCCTTCCAACTCTAAGACTCTGTGATTCTAAACCAAGAGATGACATGTATCATTATGTTGTGGAGTCTTTTTTTTTCAATTCTTTTTTTGGCATATTTATTGTCCTGTTCCTAGTTTTTTTGTAAAGCAGCTTATAAATAAAGATTAAATAGTTGCAGTTGGCATGCTTTGTCATGTGAGCCTATTGTTTAATGGCATGAAAGTGAAAAATAGGAAATATTTTAAGTGATGAAATATTAGTAAATATTACTATGAATACTATAAATCATTATTATAAGGGGAAAAGATATTTGTAGATCTTATCCATTTCTTTTTCACTTTTAGCACGTAGAAAATCGAATTGTGTGAAGGAAGTAGAGAAGTTGCAAGAAAAACGTGAGAAAAGGAGACTACAACAGCAAGAACTTAGAGAAAAAAGAGCCCAGGTTTGTATTATAAATATAAAGTTAAAGGATGTATTTCATGTGTGATCTAGAGCAGGGGTGGGGAACCTGTGGCCTCGAGGCTGTGGGTTTCCCAGCCCTGATCTAGAGGTTAAAAGACCTTATTGATGAAAGTGATTGTTGGTTTTTATCAGTAAAATTATATACCATTCATTTACGTTACAGCATTCCATATTCTGTGCTTCCTTTTTTTTTTCTTTTTTTAAAATTTTCTTATTACAGAAATTTTCATGGTTTCATTGCATAATGAGGCATTGGAACATCTGAACAAACCAGTGTCTGGGTTGCACCTACAGCTGCTGCTTTCTCCTTCTTTCTTTGGGTTACTGGAGCAACTTGTCTGTACATTTTTTTAAAAAAGACAGCGTTTTGCATTTCTTAGTCTAGTTTCTAAGGCATGAGCTGGTATAATACAAACTTCTCCTGGCAGATGCCGCTAGTCTAACTTCAAAACATCTTGCAAAACACACGTATTGCCACCACCATAGTGTCTACCCACTTAGAGGAAGGAAATGTGAATATCAGGAAGAAGAGGAGACAGAAGGAAATAGCTTGGGTGCCTTGAGAAGAGAGGATTCAGCTGGAGTTGTGTAGCACTAGCCTGAACATGTTTTTGGTGCAGCCCTAAGCAAGTTTTGATGTTCTTTAATAGACCCATCTGGTGGAATCCCTTGATGAGATCTTTATCAGCTTTTAGCTGTCCCACAGCCATACTGAGTATATAGCTATCACAGGTGGGCTGGTAGGCCTATGCTGTTATGCTATGTTATATTTTCTGAAATAGAAGGCCAGACAATTTCTTCATGATAGTTGTTTTGCCTTGGAATTGCTCTCCCACGTAAGGCAAGACACATCAATGTATATTACTCTGTATTGGGTTCTTTCATTATCAGATAACTGATAGTAATGTTACATGAACATAGATCCATTATGCTCCAAAAATGGATCTTCACCCAGCAGCAGAAGCTGTAAAATGAAGGGATTGGATTAGAAGATGTTTAAGACTCCTTCCAAGCTCTTAAAATCTGTAAAAATAGTATCCTAGGATGATGCTGGGATTCATAGTTTGATGGGCTGTCATGATGGTGGTGATGGCGGCAGTTGTCATCATCCCTTTCCCCCTATAATTCTTTTAAGTGATATATTGAGGATAATAGAACAATACAAACATTCGTATTAGTTTTTAAATAACATGTATTATAATTTTGTATTTGTTTATATATTTATTATATATTTAATCATATGTATTTAAAATTTCACAGGATGTGATTTGACTTATTGCATTAATTTTGTGTGACATTCTATTATTACTAATGAGGTTCTTTTTTTTATTTATGTACTAACAGTGATAAGGCAGCATGGCATGGCAAATAGGCAGTTGGTCATGGAGTTAGGAAGACCTGGGTTTAAATCCTCCTCTGATACAGGCGACCCCCAAGCAAGTTACTTAAATTTTTAGTGCCCCATGTGACTTTCTAAGATTCTTACGTCACAAAGCAAGTGCTATGATGATGTGTTTCTGATTTCACTGTATTTTTCATGATTCACTGATTAGCTTACATTTGATAGGAAATATTTTCTTATTTTTTAAAAATTTATATTAAACATTAATTTATCTGTGTAAGTTACTTTTACATATTGGTCTTTGATGAGTTATTTTTTTAATTCATGCATTATAGATATAAGCGGGGAAAGACAACAAACTATCTCATTCAACCCTCTCATTTTACAGATGAAGACACAAACTCAAGCAGGTTAAATAACTTACCCAGAACCACATGGGCAGAGTCAGAGGCAGAACTAGAAATCCAGATTTGTGCCATGGTATTAAAGATTTTGGGGGGGGGCTTGGGTTGGGCAGGCAATGGGGTTAAGTGACTTGTCCAGGGTTACATAGCTAGTAAGCATCTAGTGTCTGAGGCTGGATTTGAACTCAGGTCCTCCTGATTCCAGGGATGGTGCTCTATCTACTGCACCATCTAGCTGCCCCCATGCTACTAAAATTTTAAAGAAAGTTTATCTTGTACGTTTTTTTTTTTCAACTTAAAAGAAATCTGGCCAATATGGAGGAAAAGGTGCATGCTTGTTCAACCTTAAGCAAAATTAAAAATGACTTAATGCATTTATTGATAAATGTTTCCTTTTAATAAAATTTATTTGTGAAGTTGATAGTTTCCAGTTAGATAAGTATATTGTTGCTTTTTTTGTTTGTTTTTGATCAGTTATTTGCTATTTACAAATTATCATACATAGTCTCTTCTGTTTTTTAGCTGGTAATGCCTTTCAGCAGGCAGTATGAGGTAGTGGATATAGAGCTGGACTCAGAATCTGGAAAACCAGGATTCCAGTCTCACCTCTAACACATATACTTAACATCTCTGTGCCCCAGGCACTTCTCTAGGACTATGCATTGCAGAGCAGTTAGTTGAAAAATTGGTCAAAATTGGAAGAGGATTTTTCCTCACCATAGGTTAACTGGATTCTGTTCTAATAGAAACACAAATCCTGATTTTCCCTTCTCCTCTCCTGTCTAAAAAAAAAAATCTTGAAAGTAGATTTATTATATGAATGTAAGTAATCACGCCAACGTATACCTTTTTCTACTGTCACCTACACTGCTACTTCCTTTTCTTTGCCCTTTCTTTTTCTATGGGACAAGGGGAAGGACAGTGTGAATTACCACTTCAGAGCTGTAAATAATCTTCCTACTAGCTAAACATCTTGGCCTTTGAGACAAAATGTGCCTATTCTGCCCATAACTAGTCAGCTTAGTTAAAGTTATCAGATTATTTGGCTATGTAAACATATTTTTAATTTCTAATTTGAGGATTGTTTTTGGCTTTTTTTTTTTAAACATACTTTGGGATTAGAATTCAGCCAATTCAGATTTTTAAAGAGAGAGAGTGAACTCACTCTTCCTGGGGACCAAGTTAAGTTGCCACCACTTTCTGCTGCCGTCACCATAGTTCTGCCTTTGGACAAGGAGAAGCCTTCATGATGCAGACCTTTCTATGTGCCCATTGGGTGGTAGCACTGTAAGATTGGTGTTTCTCTGGGTCTTGGCCTAGAGATGTTGCTCTAAAGTGGAGTGGTGCTGCCCGATGCCGGGCCTCATCTGTTTTGTCTGGGGCTGGAGGTTAGACCAGGTCTATCGGATGTGCTGTTGTGACCAAGTATATCAGCTTACTGACAGCTGTGGCTTTGACAATGCCTGGGCTTGCTTAGCTTGCCCAGTGCATTGTGGGAGACAAAGAAGACCCTGGAGCAGCTGTGCAGACATGCACATGTATGTGAAGATGTTATGTGCAGCAGGAACCTCAGAATTCTGGAGAGCTTTGCCCTCCCCTTTAAGAGAAAGCTGTCTGGAGTACACAACTCTGTATGGACAATATTCATAGTGTTATTGCTTTTATCACTACCTCTGCATACAATAAGGAGAGAAAAGGATGGTTGGTATCTTCATGGTGGTCTGCAGACACAAGGGTTGCTGGATGTTGTATGAAGTTCAAGAAAAAATCCTTAACTCACTACTGTGCTGTGGGAAATCAGCCACTGAGCTGCTTGCTGAATACAATACCCTTGAGAAGGGAGAAGGCCTGGATTCTGATGGAAATCATACTTTACCATTGCAAGCTATTGCTAATCCTCAACATCAAGGAACTTGGGGAAAAGTTTGGTGACTGGAGCATTGCTCATGTGTGTATCTTCAATATTATAAAGTAAATTTTAACACTTTTCACAAAACTTAAGAAATTATCTGCTGTTTTGCTAAATGTTTAATTGTCATGCTTTAAAGAAAATAAATCAAGAGGGGAAACATGACATAGAATCAGTTTTTCGAAGTAAGAGACTTTCCCACATGACTCATGTAGTTTGGTGGATCAGTGTTCTATAGTAAGTTACCTCTTTAGGGTCTCTTTACTCAGGGGGAAGTTCATAGGACATACAGAACTTACGCTGTTATCCCACATTTAATAAGAATATTCACACTTCAAGTCATGTTAAGTCATTTGTTATTTTTCCCCCATTCATAATCTCCTTTAAACTTGCTAAATACTTAGGAATATTCCTGACAGAGTATTAGGCTTTATATTTAGAAACCGTCATATCTTTAAAACTTTGCATACAAGTTAAGTTCTTAAGTCTTTCATAAATGACTTTTTAACAATGTTTCTGCTCTGCTAAAAAAATTTAGGAGGAAGTAAAAGATAGCAGTGTCTTTGGTGGACAAATCAAATATTCATTGGGGGGGTTAATATAATTTACTTTTAAGTGTGGAATAATTGTGTCACTTATGGAATTTCAGCTCTATTAGCATTGAAGAAACATTTCAGTTGTAACAATTGAAGTGCTTTGACAGTATACCACAATGAAAGTTTTAAACCAAGGAGCCCTGCTTAAACATTTTATTGCTTTAATTTTTTTTCAAAAATTGAAATAGGAGAATAAATTGGCTTTAGGAAACTGTGACACTCCTTTAATGACTCCACACTTCCTCTGGAAACAAAGAACACCCATCTTTTTTAAACCAACATTCTACTGGTATTTCTGTGTGGCAGTAAGAAAGAGAATTTAACAGTCTCTGAATTAAAAATAAATATCACACAGTCATTGGGGACAAGTTTGTGGTGGGTGTGTGCAGATTGCAATATGTAACCAATGTTTAATTTCAAAGAATAGAATAAAGATGTCATCAAGTAGATGAAGATAAGCTGGTAACATGGTGAGGACGAAGGATGCCAGATGGACAGCCAGAGTGTTCTTTTGGTACCCTTCCAATGTCAGAAGAAGTTGAGGAACTCTTCCATCATGTCAGGTAGATCTCTGTGATGAAAGGACATAGACAAGAGTCCTACTAGAAAGGTGGGCATGAATAGGTTGCAGTTTTCATCGCTGAAGAGCACAAGTCTATTTGAGAATTGAGAGTGCAGATCTTACTGCCTTTAGAAAACCAGTGACCAGTATTTAAACATATACATGAT